AAAAAAAAAAATAGGGCCCCCCCGCCCCGCGGGGGGGGGGGGGGGGGTCGGGCAAAAGTACGGCTTTTAAAAGCCGCCCCAAAATAGGTGCACGGCGGCGGGATCATACAGATCCCAGGAGCCGCTGCGCAATTGCTCCCCAGCACGATCAGATGCCAGGGAGACCGGGGAGACAGCGACGGGAGGCTGCCGAACTACGCATGTCTGAGCATGCGCAGTTCGGGCAGGATCCAGGGATGCGCCAGCAGAAGGACGTGCCGGTGATTCCACGGCCGTGCTTGTCGCGGCCGTTCTGGTAAGACCACCTCCGGAGGTGGTTTTTTGTTGATGCGGTTTTTCGGCCGGAAGGGCCAGATCGGGGACGGGCGCGCAACGTTCCCCAGATGTTGCGGTGGGATAGCGCCTGTTTGCTGCGCCCCCGATCCGTCCCTCTCCCGGCCCAAAACCTTTCGTGTGACCGGGGCCAAAAGTAAATAAATAAATGAGAAACAGAGGTTCATTTTTAGCATTGTGCAAATTAAGAAAATTTGTACACTCTCTCTTATGTTCCACAACTTGGATCTTTTTTGCTATGGTCACATTACTTCTTCTTGTTTTGCTATTCATACAGAGAAGCAAAACTTTCCAGCAAGCTGATTCTGTTTTGCACTTTCAAAAGCTAAACAATACCTTAATGCAGTAAAAAAACAACACCCCACCTCAACCTGTGTAATAAATATTTCTGCCACTTGGTGGCGCTGGATCTCTCCACGACAGATATGCTGTGTTTTTAAAGAGCGAAACAACTCCACAACCTCTCCCATAGTCTATGCTTACTCTGCCCCAGCATGCATTTACACTCGTACAAAGGAGTCTGATCTGCCCAGTAAAAATGTGGCTAGTGAAGGAGGCTCATTTGGAGGACCGGAGAAGTATGACAACTAAGAGTGTCTGCTGTGAACCTTCCATTCAAATCTAACCTCACCTCACTTATCGGTTGTAGAGGCCTGTTGATCTCTCTGTGCCCAAGCCCCCTTCCCAGGTACACAGTTCGACCTACCTTATAGGGATGTTGTAAGAATGAGCACAGTATTTCTCAGGCTTTTTGAACTCCCACCACCACCACATCCTATCAACTCTGGGACACACCCCCCCCAGTGATTAAATCCTCTGCACCTCCACAGAATACCTGACCTCTTTTGCCTTACTAACTCGAGCTGAGAATCAGGGGAATGGGTTACAACACAGACTGGATCTGATCACTGTTTGGTGTAGTGGTTGAGTGCGCGGACTCTAATCTGGGAGAACCGGGTTTGATTCCCCACTCCTCCACTTGCACCTGGCTGGATGACCTTGGGTATAGCAGAATGTGTTATACCTCTGAGTATGCCAGTCACAGCTGCTGGCGAAACGTCAGGTCCTACAATGCCAAGACCACGGCCACACAACCCGGAAAATCTACAGCAACTAATAAATAAATAAATATTCTGGTACACATTTGAGCATTTCTTAAGCGTTACGCACACGATGCTCTTTGAATGCTCGCAACAACACTATACACATACTAAGCGTTATTACATTTCTTCTCACTTTTCGTCCAGTTTCCGGCCAACTTCTCGTCGCCACCTCGCCACAATATAACTGATGTATTGTCATGACTGCGGATTTGTGTTGGTCGGGGCCCATATAATCTAATCTGCAGCCAGCCAGCTCCAAACCTTCTCTCCAGCTGTGGAACTAAGTGGATTTGGGCCCTGTCTGGCTCACGGCTGAGGGTACGAAAAAGCCAAACTGATCCAATTAAGGCCCTAGACTTCAATTATCTCCCCTTGGCTTATGGGCCACGTCTGAGTATCTTTGGGGGCAGGGGCAGGGACCCTTCAAGTGGTAACCAACCTCAGCAAGCACGGAGGGGTGTCACCAAACCCCTTAATCAGTGTCAGTTTTGTTGCCTTTAAACACCAATAAAGAGTGGGATCAGCAATTTGTCTTGGATTAATTCAAATCCGACTAGAAGAGACCTAATTTGGGGATATAAACCGGGAGGGTGGATTTATTCACTTGCCCCCAATTTCCTCCCAAAAAAACACCACAGTGCTGGTACAGGGAGGACAGACTGAATCTAATAAAAAAAAGGGGACAAACGGCTGGTGGCAAAGGAGGAGACAGAGAAATGGGGAGACTCCCTAATCGTCTTTCCTGCTGGCACAGCCTCTTGCTAATAAGATGAAATGCAGATTTCATATCGGCACAAGGCAGCCAGAGGAAAGACAAAAAGCAGACAAGGGCAGGCTGTTGCATGAGCCGTGTTTCCCCCCTCCACTCCCCGCCACAGACCCAGACAGCCAAGGAAAAAATGTCAGCACCTCTCTCTGAGCATCTTGGGACATTAGCAGTACCCGGGCCCGGCTTTCCGCTACCAGCAATACTACATCCTAAGGAAAACACTGTAGGGGCAGCATGTTTGGGCTCTTGCCCTCTCTTATTGGGTCCCAGGTGTCTGTGACAGCGGAAGCACGAAGAGGCAGGCAACAGGGTATTGAAAACAGATCAGCCAATATCATAATGCCCCTATATAAATCAATGGTGCGACCTCATTTGGAATACTGTGTGCAATTCTGGTCACCACACCTTAAAAAGGATATTATAGCTTTGGAAAAAGTGCAGAAAAGGGCAACTCGAATGATAAAGGGGTTGGAACACTTTCCCTATGAGGAAAGGCTAAGGCGCTTAGGGCTCTTTAGCTTGGAGAAACGACGACCGAGGGGTGACATGATCGAGGTTTATAAGATTATGCATGGGATAGAGCAGGTAGAGAAAGAGGTACTTTTCTCCCTTTCTCACAATACAAGAACTCATGGGCACTCCATGAAATTGCTGAGCGGTCGGGTTAGAACGGATAAAAGGAAGTCCTTCTTCACCCAAAGAGTGATGAACACATGGAATTCACTGCCACAGGAAGTGGCAGCGGCTACAAGCATGGACGGCTTCAAAAGGGAATTAGATAAGCACATGGAGCAGAGGTCCATCAGTGGCTATTAGCCACAAGGTATAGATAGGGACTCTGGGGCAAGTGATGCTCTGTCATCTTGGTGCTTGGGGGAGGGGTCAACAGTGGGAGGGCTTCTAATGTCCTGGCCCCACTGGTGGACCTCCTGATGGCACCTGGTATTTCTGGCCACTGTGTGATACAGAGTGTTGGACTGGACGGGCCTTTGGCCTGATCCAACACTGGCATCTCTTATGTTCTTATGTTTTTATCCCCTAGAACGCTCCATCTGGCAATGCACGAACTTCCCTCTGTCTGGCATTCGCTGCCTCTGACCACGGAGGTTCCATTTAGCTGTCCGGGCTATCGACAACAATCTCTGTGCCACGAAACAGCTTGCGGCGTCAGGGTTAGTGGGCCACAGGCTGTTTCATCAAGTGTAGGAAGTGTCCTCTTCAGTGGGAATGTGTGTTCAAAACTAAAAGGACAGCCAGCAGAGTGTGATGGTTGAGAGAGCTGGACCAAGATCGGGGGAGGGCTTTAACTCAGTCGTGAAGGTCATTGGTTGATGCTGGGCCAGTCACTCGCTCACAGGGTTGTTTTGAGGATAATGTCAAGGAAGGAAGAACGGGGCAGAAACCAGAGAGGGAGAGGGAGGGAGACGAGGCGCCCCCAGCCTTTTAGAGCCAACAGGCACCTTTGGAAATCTGACACAGGGCGGTGGGCGCCACCTCAAAATGGCTGCCGCGGGAGGTGGAACCAAGGGCTGACACGCCTCCCCGGGCCCTGTCCAGTGCAGGGTTTGCCTCACCGTGCAGGCTTGCCAGCCCACTGACTCTTCTGCGGCATTCCGCCAGTTTGGTGTAGTGGTTAAGTGTGTGGACTCTAATCTGAGAGCTGGGTTTGACTCCCCACACACTGAAGGAGTATGTCAGGGGACTTCCGGTTTATTGCGGCACGCTAGCAGACTCACCTCCCGGACCTCCCAAGGGTGAAGCTGTGCTCCAGCCGAAGGAAGGGGGGTGCAGGTTCGTCATCCCCCCAGGGGCCCGGTGACCCTGGCCATGGAACTTCAAAGAGGTGGCCTCCTCGACGGCGGAATGCCGGAGAATTGAGACGCCTCTTCGTTCCGATGGTCCTACACGCTGTGAGACCGAATGGACTTAAGTGACGCTGACCGGGGCAAGCGCAGGAGATCGAGCGTCAGAAATGAAGCTGAAAGCGAGGTCGAAAGACCAATTATGAACGTGAGTCAGCTTTAAAGCGTTTTAAAAGAAAAAAGATAGCTCCCCACCAGTGTTCCCTCTAAGCTGAGTTAGTGTGAGCTAGCTCACAGTTTTTTAGCCTCCAGCTCACAGATTTCTGTCTTAGCTCAGGAAGGATGGCTCCAGAACAAACTACTTTATGCAGCAGCCAAATCGCTTGCTCACAACTTTAATGCCAGTAGCTCACAAAGCAGAATTTTTGCTCACAAGACTCCACAGCTTAGAGGGAACATTGCTCCCCACCCCACCCCACTGAATGGGAAAAAGGCGAGCGGGGGAGGCATAAACTTTTGAGCGATTGAGGGGGGGAGTGGAAGAAAACGCGAAGGAAACTGTCTAGAAGCGAGTTCAAGCGTTTAAGCGCATATTCAGAGGCTTTTTAAAAATTTGCATAAGTAAAGAAACAATAAAGATGGGGGGAAGAAGGACAAAGAAAAACTTTTGAAAGTGAAAGGGACTGAGAGCCCGAAACCGGAAGTTACCAGTGAGGTAGCAAGGTCTATAGCGGAATACATGCATCCTCTGCTGGAACAGCTGAATAACTTCAAGGAACAGATGTCAAAAATGACCTCTCAGCAAACCCAGATAAATGAGACATTGCAAATAATGAAACAAAATGCTGAGAAGGTAAATGATGTGGTTGCAGTTACTCAAAAGGTGAAGAAAAAAGTGCAAAAGCTGGAAAGGAAACAAAGCTCCATGGAAGATCAACTGCTGCAATTGCAAATGGAAAAGGCTAACATGATCCTTTGCTTCCAGGGCATGCCAGAGAATAAGGGGGAGAATCTTAAAGAAGTGATGAGCGAGCTATTAGCCCCAGTGACAGAGATGAAGGCGGAATCGTTGCTAAGCGATATGGATGTGGTCTATAGATCATATTCAGGCTATATAAGGAAAAATAATCTGCCTGGGGAAATTGTTGTAAGATTCTCGAAGAGGCATGTGAGGGATGCAATCCTGAAAGCGGCTTCTGGAATATCCCTGAAAGTGGGAGAGAATACTATCAGAGTATTAAAGGACATTCCATCTGAAGTAAGACAATGGAGAAAGAAGTATAAAGAACTTGTGCTTTTTCTTCAGACAAATTCAATTGGATATAAATGGTTATTTCCAGAAGGCGTCACTTTCAAGATTAAGGATAAAAAAGAAAAGATTGACTCTGTTCTGAAAGCTCAAGAATTTCTAAGGGTCCAGTTGGGAAGGCCAGAGGACGGTAAAAAAGAGGACAGCAAGTCCAGTGGCGAGCTAAACTTGGGTTCTTCCGGAGAGGACTCTCTGTCAGAGCAAGGGGCTGCAGCCCCAAAAAGTTCTTATAAGTTACGGAAGAGAAGGGGAAAGGAGAAGTAAAGGCTGAAGGACTCTGAATTGTGCCTCTGAGAACTTTGAAATGGGATGATCGGGGGTACTGTTTTTAGACAGTTAAATTTAAGCTGTAAAGGAAAAGTATTATAAATGTTTGACTCAGTTTATAATGTGATTAATGATGGGAAGACTTGATGTAACTAAGCTAGCAGGAGGATCTCCTCTCTTGGGTTTTTAGTTAGTAGTGGGTTCTTTACTTTATCCCGTAAATGTAGTTTCCCTTCCTTTTTCTTCTGTTATAGTTTTTGTAGTGATACAAAAAAATAATAAAAAATCCCCTCCGGGGGCTCAAAAAAAAAAAAAAAAGGAGTATGTCAGGGAATGAGGTTATGCATACTGTTTAAAAATATGTTCTGGTACACATGCAAGTATGTACCAGTTTGGTGCAGTGGTTAAGTGCGTGGACTCTAATCTGGGAGAACCGGGTTTGATTCCCCACTCCTCCACTTGCACCTGGCTGGATGACCTTGGGCAAGCCGTAGCTCTGATAAGAGTTGTTCTTGAAAAAGAGCAGTCTCTGTCAGAGCTCTCTCAGCCCCACCTACCTCACAGGGTGTCTGTTGTGGGGAGGGGAAGGGAAAGGAGTTTGTGAGCCACTCTGAGACTCCTCTGGGTTGTGAAGGGCGGGGTATAAATCCAATCTCTTCTTCTTCTATATGTATTGAGCTAGCTGAGAAATACTCATCTGGCAGCATCTGGCCAGTAAGAAGCTCTGATGGCCCCACCCAACTCCATCCACTACTTGAAAACAACTGGCAGGTGTCAGGAAAGGTGTCAGTGGGCACCATATTGGGGACCCCGAGCTAGACAGAGAGATCGGTCTGGTTGCAGCGGGGGGTGGGTGGGTGCAGTTATAAAATGAGGAGGAGGAGGAGACTGGCTTTTTACCCCACCCTCCACTCGGAGTCTCAGAGCAGCTTACAATCTCCTTTCCCTTCCCCTCCCCACAACAGACACCCTGTGAGGCAGGTGGGCCTGAGAGAGCTCTTTCGAGGACTGCTCTTGAGAGAACAGCTCTGAGAGAACTTGTGAACTTGTGACTGGCCCAAGGTCACCCAGCAGCTGCATGTGGAGGAGTGGGGAATCTTACCCAGTTCTCCCCGATTAGAGTCTGCTGCTCTTAACCACGACACCAAACTGGTTCTGGCTGCACCAAAATGATGTGAGAAAGACGAGCAACTTTAGAGGGACACCATAAAACAAGATCGGGTCAAACAGAGAAAGCCCTACAACGTGTCCCTCAGTCTTTTGAGGAGCGGGCGGGATCCACCGCAGACACGAGAACACCCTGACAGCCAAATCTCCACACCACTGTGCTCCAAACGCACCTTCTTCTTCACCGTCATGGCACTGCGAAGGTGAATAGCGAGCTGGCGGATGTAGATGAAGGCATGCTGGTAGGAGACGCCGGTGTCCAGGGCGTACATCTCTGTCAGAGTCCGCTGCATGAAGCTAATCATGGGGAGGGCGTTGGGAGAAGTGAACCTGGAGTTCTTCACGTAGGAAATGTACATTTGCTGGAGGGTGAAGAAAAAAGGGAGGGAAGATGTATTATTTTAAATTATCGGTCTTCAAATGCCAGCGTTAGGAGCTACAACAGCCATGCCCACCTATATATATATATTTTAATTAATCAAGTTCAACTATATGAACTTCTAAGGATGGTTCTTTCCACGCAGAGTGTGGAAGGAGTGTGACGTTTGTGTCCTTGCAGTGGGGTTCCTGAGTGACAAGATTTCCAAAACAGAAACAGCCAATCAAATCCACAGTTTAACCTTATGATATTGCCACCAAATGTGTACGTAAAGTGCCCTTGAGTCACGGCCAGCTGATGGTGACCCCAGCAAGGGGTTTCCAAGGCAAGTGAGAAGCAGGGATGGTTTGCCATCGCCTTCCCTGGCAGAGTCTTCCTTGGTGGTCTCCCTTCCAAGTACCGACCCCGCTTAGCTTCCAAGACCTGACAAGACCGGGCTATACCGCCGCTGCCTTCCCTCCCTGCCTTCGAATCCATCTGGGCAAAATTTCAAACTGGCCGTTCTCCTGCTTAGAAATCACACTCGTTTATATAAAAGACCACAAAATACTACTGTCATCCTTTGTGCCAGCTTGCAGGAGGCAGGTGAAGAACGTTTCAGTGTCTTTTATGCAAATGACTGTGATTTCTAAGGTGGAGAACAGCGAGTTCAAAATGTATTTGATGACAAGATTATGCCATTGTGCTGTGGATCGGATTGGCTGCTGCCATTCTGCGAACGAATGAAAAACAGGACATTCTGTTTTCACATCAAAAATGTGTATGTGTGCGCGCCATCAAGTTGCAACCGACTTAATGGTGACCCCAGCAAGGGGCTTTCAAGGCAAGAGAGAAGCAGAGGTGGCTCGCCATCGCCTTCCTCTGCAGAGCCTTCCTTGGTGGTCTCCCTTCCAAGTACCGACTTTGCTTAGCTTCCAAAATCTGACAAGACTGAGTTATACCACGCCACCCTCCCTCCATCAGATCAAAACTAACACACCATTATTTGATGCAAATGGTTACCACACACAATGGCATGATTCACACATAACGACAAAACCATGGTTTGTGGCTACCGGAACAAGGTTGGGAAACCCTCAGGCTCTCGTGTTCCAGTGTGGTGGACTCTAATCTGGAGAACCGGGTTTGATTTCCCACTCCTCCTGCAAAAGAAGCCAGCTGGGGGACCTTGGGCCAGTCCCAGTTCTCTCCAAGGAGACTGTAAGCCGCTTTGAGACTCCTTACGGCAGAGAAGAGAGAGATATCAAAACCAACTCTTCTGCTGCTGCGGCTCACCTTGTGCATGGCTAAGAGAATAGATGCTTTTGTGTCAAATCACAGTTTTGGTTTTCATGCAAATCGCAAACTATGGTTTGGTTTCCTGGCCCCCAAACCAGGAGTAAGCCATGCTTACTGTATGGAATTACAGAGGAGAGGAGCCTACTGTTGGTTTTGAACACGCTCTTTTTGGAAGTAGTGTTTAATGGTTATGAGCGATCTGTTGGATATGTGCTTATACATTCTATTGGGTGATGACCACTAACCCATCTTTGTACTTTAATGAATGTGAAATACAGTTCTGATCATATACAGCTGTGAGCTGTTGATGGTCTTCCCTTGGTGGGTGTTATTTGTGGCTAGGCTTTGGAACTCTGGCATGAAGGGAAGGGAATTAAACTGTAGTTTGTGATTCAGATAAAACATCAAGCTATGGCTTGCCGCAGAAGCATTTAAATCCCCCAGCTGTAGGCCACAGGAAGAAGAGGGAGGCGTCACACTTGCTAGTTCCTATGGGTGTGAACGGTACCCATGGCTTCATTCAGACATCACACAAAACCATGGTTTGCGCTAACCCGAGCGGAGAACTCAGAGCAAAGTATTTCCAAACAAACCACAGTTTAGAGTTCCTGGTTTTAATTTTATAGCCTCCCTATTACTCAGGTTTGTTAAGTCTGCTCCCATCTGCAAAATGCAGTAGCCTCTGGAACTGGAGTGGTGGCCATAATTGTTGTTATTCACTTTGGACACACACAAATCATAATTAGCACGAACTACAGTTTCCAAAAAACAAACACTTTTTTACATTTCACCCAATTTTATTTATACAAAATGCCTTGAGTGAAAAACAAACAGTAAGAGAGAAAACTGCTGATCAGATTCCAAGCATGTCAGTTCCTTTCCCTATCCAAAGGCCTTGTTTGCCCACATTTTTTTCCAGCCCTTTCTTATTGTGTTTCTTTGCAAAGCGCACGTTCCTCAGGAACCTGGGATCAGCCCCCTTCAGAGATTCATATCTATGTGACCTGGGCTGCTTCATGCCATTTCTGTGCCATTTGTAAGTGGTGTCAGGTGAGTGACGTGGTTCTTGGACTTGGCCATAGCTTAAGAACATAAGAACATAAGAGATGCCAATGTTGGATCAGGCCAAAGGCCCATCCAGTCCAACACTCTGTATCAAACAGTGGCCAGAAATACCAGGTGCCATCAGGAGGTCCACCAGTGCGGCCAGGACATTAGAAGCCCTCCCACTGTTGCCCCCCCCAAGCACCAAGAATACAGAGCATCACTTGCCCCAGAGTCCCTATCTATACCTTGTGGCTAATAGCCACTGATGGACCTCTGCTCCATATGCTTATCTAATTCCCTTTTGAAGCCGTCCATGCTTGTAGCTTAAACTTCCGCCTCCACCGCCATCCGGACTACAACCAGAAGAGCGTTTCCAAACCTACTTCAAACCACAGCTTCTGGTTCTGGTTTGCTAGTCAATTAAATGCGAATACAGACACCACATTGAAACCTAGTTAAGCTTTCTTACTCTGCAGTTAGTATAATGTTTGGAATGTTTGAACGTCATGCCATCTCTTAACTTATTTAAAAAATGTGATACTTAACAAAATCCGTTATCTTTTAAAATAGAATTATGCAAATGTAGTACCAGGTAGGCAGAGGTACTGAAATCTGCACATGTTATTCCAGTAGTAGAATCCTGGCTTAAGTTAGCACACAAATTTAGAGTTTTCTGTATTTTTGGACATCAAATGAATATGCCTGTAAGAACATAAAATCAGAGCAGTGGTCCATCTAGTCCAGCATCCTGCCTCAGTGGCCAACCAGTTCCTCTGGCGGTCCAATGACAGGGCATGGAGGCCGAGACCTTCATAAGAACATTAAGAAGAGCCCTGCTGGATCAGGCCAGTGGTCTATCTAGTCCAGCATCCTGTCTCTTCACACAATGGCCACACACAATGGTTCCTCTGGAGGACCAACAACACAGCATTAGAGTCCAAGGCCTTCCCCTGATGTTGCCTCCTGGCTCTGGGATTCAGAGGTTTCCTGCCTCTGAACTTGGAGGTTCCCTTCAGTCACCCTGGCTAGTAGACACTGATAGACCTCTCCTCTATGAATCTATGTAACCCCCTTTTAAAGCTATCCTCTGGCAGTGAATTCCACATTTTAATCACTCTCTGTGTAAAGTAGCATGTTCTTTAAAAAAAAAAAAAATCTTATCAAGAGAAAATGAAAGAGCGGTGGGCCAGAGGTTAGGCATGTACTTTCCGCACCGAAAGTCACACAGGTTCAGTCCCCAACATTTCCAGTTAAAACAAGTAGTGAAGACTCTTGTCTGAGATCTCGGAAGAGTCACTGCCAGTCAGAACAGAGGATGCCAAGGTAGGCGGAACTGGCCTTTGCCACCCCCATCTTACCTTAAGCACCGGGTTCAAGTAGACGTCCTTCTTGTGCCGGCAAATTTTGTTGAGCACCAGGAAAGCCAGAACTCTAGCAGTTTCCTCGCCTGCGCTCCAGAGATGCGCGGCTTGCTAGGAAGGAAATGATGAAAAACGGTAACAGCTGGCCTGCCTCTTCCAGAGGTTCCACCAGGAGCTCCTACAACTTGTGTTTATTTTCTTGAGGCATTGATATCTGCACCGCATGGCTTACAAAGCATACGAACAACACAAATCCAATCTCGCCATTTAATTAATCAATCACAGCACCAAATTTTGTTATAGAAACCCCACCCCGAGCAGACAGTTAAAAAAATCATGCTGGACCGTTAAAAGTCATGCCAAAAGGACTAATATCACTGAAAGGTCTACGGAATCAGACAGACTTCCCCAGGTCAAAATACTTGAAATGTCTAAAAAGCCATTGGGGGGTGGGATTGGCTTTTCTGCTCTTTTACCAGAAAAACAAAACAAAACAAAAAAATCCCTAGGTATTCTTTTTAGTACTTCCCAAATTTTCAAGTGGAAAAAGTCCCCGGGGGGCAGTGTTCCCTCTAAGCTGAGTTAGTGTGAGCTAGCTCACAGTTTTTTAGCCTCTGGCTCACTCGTTTTTGTCTCAGCTCAGGAAAGATGGCTGCAGAGGAAACTAATTTATGCAGCAGCCAAATCGCTCACTCACCACTTTAATGCCAGTAGCTCATAAATCAGAATTTTTGCTCACAGGACTCCACAGCTTAGAGGGAGCATTGCCGGGGGGGGGGGGGATTCCCCCAGGATCCACATCCCTAGCCAAGCCCCTAAGAGACAGTGGATCAGGTGGTCCAGTAAAAAACCCGAAATTGCGGGTTAATAACTTTGGTGCATTCCTTGAGCTAAATGTCAGGCACTGTTAAGTTCCCCAGCACTACGGCCTGGAAGTTTCAACGTACCTTGAGCAACATCCGGCACTGCTTCGGGAAAGCCAGGTAATAAGGCACGATGGCGTTGACATGGTGAAGAACGGCAGTTGTCACCGAGGCCTCCGTCAAGCAAGACAGGAGCTGCACAGGATGGAAAACGGCAGCGGCACTGAACACCGGGGGCCAGACCCCAATTTGCAAACATTATCTTAAAGAGGGTACACAGCCTCTTGACTAACGCCATTTATTGCACCGGAAACTGACAACCGGTCCATCAGCGGACCGCGATCTACCTTCTACGCACCCTCCCTGACCTGCACAGTGTGGGACCGTAATTCCAGTGTGTGTAAACTGCCGTCACATCGCAGCTGACTGCCCTGACCGGGATAGCCCAGGCAAGTCCGATCTCGTCAGATCTCAGAAGCCAAGCAGGGCCAACCCTGGCAAGGATTTGGATGGGAGACCTCCAAAGAATACCAGGGCTGGGAGGCAGAGGCAGGCTATCAGGCCACTTCTTTCAACATCCTCCATGCCTCCGTAGGAGTTGCCAGAGGTTGCCATGACTTCCAGCCATGGGCACACACACATACGCACACACACACACAAACACACACAAACACGTGGGCACACACACATACACCCACGCACACACACAAACACAAAGCAAAAAAAAAATTGCAGCTGACTTCTGGCAACTCCGTAGGGTTTTCAAGGCAAGAGATGCTGAGAGGTGGTTTAGCCATCACCTGCCTCTGCGTGGCGACCCGGGACTTCCTTGGTGGTCTCCCATCCAAGGACTAACCAGGGCCGAGCCTGCTTAGCTTCCGAGATCTGACGAGATCAGGCCAGCCTGGGATATCTAGGTCAAAGCTCATAGCTCCTATCCCACTATACATACACAGCAGAAGCTGCCAGGGGGAGAAAGGTTCTTGAAAGGGCATCAGGCCTCTGCTCCAGCGCCATCCCAGTGGTGCCCCGAAGACCAACCCGGCTGCCTCAGTCAACCCAGAGCCAACCAGCAATGGCATCAATCGCAGCAATAACCTCCCAAGTTTATTTACATAATTTATAGTCTGCCTTTGTCACAGGGAGTCAAGGCGGACTACGCAAACCGAGCCAAAACGAACATTCAATGACCAAGTCTGGAGCAACCAGAAAGAAGAGAAGAAGAGATTGGATTTATACCCTGCTCTTCACTTGGGAGTCTCAAAGCGGCTTACAGTCTCCTTCCCCTTCCCACAACAGACACCATGTGAGGTTGGTGGGGCTGAGAGAGCTCTTTCGAGGACTGCCCTTGAGAGAGCAGCTCTGAGAGAACTTGTGACTGACCCAAGGCCACACCGGCAGCTGCATGTGGACGCGTGAGGAATCAAACCCCGTTCTCCCAGATCAGAGTCTGCGTTCCTAACCACTACAGCGAATTGGCTCTGAAGCACAGAACTGAAGCACAGCATGGAAGTACTCACAAGACAAACTAGGTGGTACAGAAATCACGTTAATAGGATCCTATGTACAATAAGCTGCATGCAGCAGTACAGACTACAGTCCCTGTAGACCACCGTCCTTAACCATTCATCCAACAAAGTTTGAAAAACCACTTTGGACAGTGCAACCCGATTTACCCGAGCAGAAGTGGGGGCTATCACAAGGCCAGTGCCCAGTAAACAAGGGGTTCGGTCTGGGGTAGGGTTACCAGATGTCCTCTTTTTAGAGGACATGTCCTCTTTTTTTGGTGTCCGTCCTCTTCGGGGCTCTTTTTAAAAAACTATGCAAATGTCCGCTTTTGGGGTTGAAAGGTGAGGAATATTCCAAGTCAGGTGCAATGATCACAGCTTAAATAGTAGGGGTACTTCAAATGAGATTTGTCATAGTGATGAAGGAGGAGGAGGAGGAGGAGGAGACTGGATACCCTGCCCTTCACTACCCAAAGGAGTCTCAGAGCGGCTTACAGACTCCTTTCCCTTCCCCTCCCTGCAACAGACATCCTGAGAGGTAGGTGGGGCTGAGAGAGCTCTTTTGAGGACTGTCCTTGAGAGTCTCGAGAACTCTTGAGAGAACAGCTCTGGGAGAACCTGTGACAGACCCAAAGTTACCCTAGCAGCTGCATGTGGAGGAGTGGGGAATCAAACCCAGTTTTCCCAGATTAAAGTCTGCGCTCCTAACCACTATACCAAACTGGGACTTTGTCCTCATTTCAAAATATGGTCACCCTAGTCTGGCATGTCACTTTAGACAAGAGTCTGGGAGAATATCTTACCTGGATGGTGCAGCCAAGGTGTGTTTTGATATCCAGGCGAAGCTTCCCCCAGAGTGGGCTGGAAGAAGGCGCAACCATCCTAAGGAACAAAGAAAGGGAACAGGTGAACAGGCTGCGTAGTGCAACACATTTCTTGGGCACAGAATGACCTCCGGACATACACAGTTGCAACTGTTATTACACACAGTAAAATACAAGCGTTCATGATGGCGCTCAGAAGGGAATCTGGAATTAGGTACAGAAATCGGAAGAAAGAGAAGTGCAGCTTTCCATTTTGTTTGCTTTAAAATAAGTTTACAGCTCGCAGGCTGCAAAAAGGGCAAAAAAAGTCGGCCTTAGGGGACCGTATTTGGTAGGAAAGGGGACACAGGAATCTTTTGAATAAATATGATATGGTGAAATTTCATAGACCAAAGACGGGCAGCCGTGTTAGTCTGTTGGCAGCAGTAGAAACGAGCCAGGAGTTCAGGAGCACCTTAAAGACTGACTAAATTTGTGGCAGGGGAGGAGCTTTCGTGAGTCGCGGCTCACTTTCTCAGATACCAAAATGAAGGAGAGTAGCGACTCACAAAAGCTCCTCCCCTGCCACAAACCTTGTTAGTCTTTAAGGTGTTCCTGGACTCTTGCTCTTTTCATAAACCAGACTGTTGTTTAATTCAGCTTTCAGTGCATTTCTGCACACCCCCTAGCCTTTCCGTACTAAAGAGTAAGAATGATATGTAAATGTACTACATTTGTCTAATTTATTCACAACTCAGTTTGGATCTTCACTGCCATGTTTTTTTGGGGGGGTAAATTAGCATACACTGATTTACTTTTTTTAAAAAAAAATTAGCATACACACAGCCCAAGCCAGCCTTATTTCATCAGATCTGGGATGCTAAGCACAGTCAGCCGTGGCGAGTATTTGGATGGGAGACCACCAAGGAAGCCCAGGGTTGCTATGCAGAGGCAGGCAATGGCCAACCACCTTAGTCTCATGCCTTGAAAACCCTACAGGGCTGTCATACATTAACGGCTATCTTCCCCCCCCCTTCCTTCTTTCCTTTCCTTTTGTACCTTTAGAAGCCCGTTGATTCACGAATCTTAAGCAGCAGAAAACACTTATTTCTTATTTTATAGATGCAAAGGCTAAAAGGACTGAGTCAAATTTTGCAGTTGCTAGAGTGATCTTAGGATCCTTCTCACTGAGCAAAAGAGGTTTAAACTGACTGCTGCTTCACAGTATTCTACACCGCCAGACACACCAAATGCATGCAGCACATCTGCACACTGTTACTGTCTGTGGCTTGGATCCCATGACAGCTTTCCCCTCCTGCTTTTCTCCAGGCTCTGCAAAGGCTTTCCTACGTTGGAAGGCTCTCTCCCTCTGCAGTAAGATGTTCAAGATCAAGGTTTTCATGGAGAATTTACTCATGCAGAAGTGCTAGCAGCAGAGGAAGAAGAAGAAGAGGAAGAGGACCACTGCAAAGGCTTTCCTACGTTGGAATGCTCTCTCCCTCTGCAGTAAGATGATCAAGGTTTTCATGGAGAATTTACTCATGCAGAAGTGCTGGCAGCAGAGGAAGAAGAAGAGATTGCATTTATACCCCACCCTTCACTACCCAAGGGAGTGGCTTAAAATCTCCTTCCCCTTCCCCTCCCCTCAACAGACACCCTGTGAGGTAGGTGGGGCTGAGAGAGCTCTTTCAAGAACTGCCCTTTCAAGAACAGCTCTTGTCAGAACTATGGCTTGCCCAAGGTCATCCAGCAGGTGCAAGGGGAGGAGTGGGGAATCAAACCCGGTTCCTCCCAGATTAGAGTCCGCGCTCCTAACCACTGCACCAAACTGGCTCTCAAGCACCACCATGGAGAAAGCCTTTCCCGAGGCCAGAGGGACGTGCGAGGAGGATCAAAGCTTATGACTTCACAAGAACCCTTGGAGGTCGGCTGCTATTTATTCCCATTTTACAGACTGGGAACTGAAACAAAGGAAGCGCTATTTGGCCACGGCCTCACCGAACGTTCACAGCTCCAGTTTTACCATGGCTGAAAGGTTTTTTTGGGGGGGATCAACACTACTAACTTATTTGTAAAAATTATCAATTAACAATGTGCCCAACGTTATTTTTAAAATGCTATTATTAACTCACGTTATTTATAAACCCCTGGGTATCAGGGTGCCCTAACCTGTTATGAACTGTATTTATTGTACTGTTATTTGACCGTTATGACGCACCCTGAGCCAGCTTGCGGGGAGGGCAGGATATAAATCCAGGGACAGATTTTTTTAAAAAATAAATTCTTGGAAGATGAATGGCTCCTCCTCTCACACAGGGATGAATATCTATTCAGGGGTGCCTTCTATAATCCCAAACACGCACTCATTTAAAAACGAAGCAAGAATGCCTCTTTTACCTTGAGAACTCCGGTTCCACTCAAATGCAAATTTAACCAATTCAAGCTCATACAATCACAGAGACATTGAAGCATAGGGTCCCCAAAGGTCACCTAGTCCAACCCCTTGCACAAAGCAGGAAATTCATTGCTACCTGCCCCTCCCCCGGTGCCCCCTACTCTATGCCCAGAGGAAGGCGAAAAAACTCTCCAAGATCTCTAGGCCAGGGGTGGCCAAACTGTGGCTCGGGAGCCACATGCGGCTCTTTTACACTTATTGTGCGGCTCCTGCTAGGGTGGCTGGGGAAGCAAAGGGGAGGCATGCCTCCTCCCCAATTGGTCTTCCCTTCCCCAGCCAGTGCAGAGAAAGAAAGAAACTAAATGCATTCTCAAAGCCCCCTCCCCACCGCTAGCTTGGAGAAGGCATCTGTCTCTTTAAATCCCTCCTCCAAACCAAGCTAACCAGCAGGGGGCGGGGCTTGGAGGACGCATTTAAAGTTGCTTTCTTTCCACTTCTCCCTCCCTCCCCCAACTATTTTCTTTCTTTCTTTCTTTCTTTCTCTTTCTTTCTTTCTCTTTCTTTCTCTTTCTTTCTCTTTCTTTCTCTTTCTTTCTTCCTTTCTTTCTTTCTTCCTTTCTTCCTTCCTTCCTTCCTTCCTTCCTTCCACCTTTCATTCTTTCTCTCTTTTTCTGCCCTCCCTCTCCATCTAAAGTTATCAATTTAATTTTAATAAAATGTGCATATTTTTCAATAAAAACGTGTGTGTCATATTTGTTCATGTCTTGCGACTCTCAGACATCTGACGTTCACTCTATGTGGCTCTTCTGTTAAGCAAGTTTGGCCACCCCTGCTCTAGACCAATCTGGTCTGGGGGAAGATTCCTTTCTGACCCCCAAGTGGCGAGTACAAGAAAGGGCTGTGAGAACTAAGCACTGAGGCAGCCCTTCCTGCCCCTCCCTCTCGCGATCTGCCAAAGTTCATAGAATCCGCATTGCTGTCAGGTGGCCCTCTAGCCTCTGCTTGAAAACCTCCAAAGGAGGAGCGCCCACCACCTCCCGAGGAAGCCTATTCCACTGAGGAACGGCTCTGCCAGGAACCTCTTCCTAATCCCACCAACCGAGATTCCTTTAACCACGGGACAGCTTTTAATTTGAACCTAACCAGTTATTTCGCCCATCCCGGAGGCCTCTTTCCCAATATCTAACCCACCCTGACCACACTAAGTCCCGGCCTCCTGCCAAGATCACAAGCGAAAGGCCTTGCAGCTGGGAGCCGAGATCACGAGCAAAACCCGCCAAGGCAGAAAGCTCCCCCCACCCCACCCCACCTCCCATCACCATCCACAATCCCAGCAGGATCAGATGGCAGCCCTAAAGAATGCGGCTCAACCAACGCCTGTGAAGAGAAACAAGGGATTAATTGTACCCTGGCTAACTCAGCTGCTCACTTTCGTTCCCCATCCGACCTGCAAGCTCAATGTTGACCGGGTCAACTTTGAAAAAGCTCTTGGGTGTTTTTTGCTCTCTCTCTCTCTCTCTTTTTTGTACATCAGGAGCCAGGTCTCATACTCCAGCGTTATTTGACTAGCCAAAATACTTGAGAAAAGAAACAGTATATATATACATACTAGAAATAATGCCCGTTGCGGAAATAAATACAACGGGATCTAGAAAGAGGCTCTGGGAGAGTGCTCTGGCTTTCGGCAAACAGTGACAGTTTCCTGTGGCGACCTCAGCAGGGTTTAATGACAGAGTCCACTGTTTTCTCCAGAGGGACTGATCTCTGCTACCTGAAGAGCATTTGTATGTTTGAGTTATCTGTAGCCCTCACCTGGAGAGTGGTAACCATTGTTACCCATTCTCCTCTCCCCTATGAGGTATGTTATGCAACTGAAAATCCCAACTGCCTTGCGGGGGGGGGGAGTTTGAGGTGTGGAATGGACTGAAGTCCAATCAGCTTCCATATGCAAAAGACCAGGTTGTCGCAGCAGTTGTGGTGTGGGCGGGACCCGGGCTTTGCCTTCTGATTGGTGGCGATATATGCTGAGGAGCAGTGCCATCAGCCATACACTAAGGGAGTGCATTTTAGAATTAGAACCTTGGCACCCACTATTCAATTATATATAAGGACAGATTCTCACCAGCTCCAGCTTACTGGAGCTTGGTAGCTGAAACACATGCTTTTCATGCACAACACCTAAAAGCTTGTAAAATGAAGCCAACCGTTAAATTAAGAAAACTGACATTGGATTGACCCAGAGAATCCGGAAAAACAATTGACAAAAACTTTGTTTGCAATCTTCTAGAACGTCGTACTCTGCATACTCATCAGCTTAATGAAGCTCATTGTCCTCCAAGTGGAGTTTCATACCCCCCCCCCGCTTTTTTACTTTTTAGGATAAACTTTAGCATCTACTCACAAGGTGTTGGAGTAGTTTGTACCCCACAACTGCACTCAATGAGAAAAATGACAAAAACGATAAAATTGCCCTTTCTTAATCTTCTTGTTTTTTCTCCATGATTCTTTTTGCTGCTATTTTATTCCTTAACTGACAAACAAAAAAAATTAATAAAGGGCTGTTTATTTATTAATTTTGGCAGCTGTCTGCATAGAGGGTGCAAGACCCTTTCATTTCTGAGGTTTACTTTGGGGGTTTCTTAGTCCACAAACCTCTCTTTGATCCCCATAACCTTCTTTGTTCAGGTGAGTGGTTTTTTTAAATGAAAAAAACTTACTTGGATCTGGTTCTGCCCGCTTTCCCCTCAAGCAGTTTATGTAGCAAGCTGAAGAGGTCGTGGACGCAGAAGGACACCAGCGTGTTGAACACTAAACAGCAGAGACAAAAGAGAGGGATTTCTTGGCTCTACCTGGTTACCTTGGAAACTGGAAGCAATCTCCCTTCCCCGCAAGGCCCGTATCAATTATGGATTGTGAACAGGGCTGTGTTCCAAGCTGGCAATCAATGTTATCGGGAACAGAATTCCCACTTCCTGGGAGGGGGGACCTCAAGTTTGATTTTAAAGAAATTAAGTTTCTAGACTTTTGTAAATGCACAAACCAAAACTTACTAAAACAAATCTGTGTGAGGAGGGGAAGAGGAGAACGAGATTTTGACAAAGCAGGGTGGGAGAAAAGAAAGGAAATGCAAAAAAAAAAAGAGTTTGAAGTTGGGAGTTAAAAAAAAGGAACCTGTGCACAACAGGATCATGATTCTTAAACATGAAGCAATTCCAAATTCCAATGTAAATGTGCCTGAGAAGGTACTGAGTATGTGAATACCCCTCCACCTACAATTTAAACATCATAGTTCAAAGTACCTAATTATCCAAATGAATGTATGAAGAAGAAGAAGAAGAAGAAGAAGAAGAAGAAGAAGAAGAAGAAGAGATTTGATTTACACCCCCGGGTTCCAGAAGAAAAGGAAGAGACTGGATTTATACCCCGCCCTTCACTCAGAGTCTCAGAGCGGCTTACAATCTCCTTTCCCTTCCCCTCCCCACAACAGACACCCTGTGAGGTAGATGGGGCTGAGAGAGCTCTATCGAAGACTGTCCTTGAGAGAACAGCTCCGAGAGAACTTGTGACTGACCCAAGGTCACACCAGCAGCTGCACATGGAAGCGTGGGGAATCAAACCCAGTTCTCCCAGATTAGAGTTTGTGCACTTAACCACTACACCAAACTGGCTCTCAGTAGGATAGCTGCTAGTTTTGTTTCACAAAACGAGCAAAACAGAAGAGGAGCGCCAGTAGTTGAGCCCCCACTGATGGAGACACAAGTTAATGGGGGGAGGAATGAAGTATGCTACCAACACTACACAGCTAAGCTACAAATACAGTAGAATCTTATGGTATGTTTCTTTCCTCGCCTGGACCATTAAAAAAAAAAAAACAGACGTGGACACAGAAAAATATCAGAACTAGTAGGGTTCTCAAGTTATTCTCCCAGCCGAGCACATTTTCAAGGTGCGGAAAGTTTAAATGCTCGCCTACTGTCTGAATGCTGCATCACAGGAAATCCAATATGACACGATTCTGCTGCACGTGCAGATGGGTGCTTTGTTACTTCTCTTGGAAAAGGTGTCCACCCACAGGGACAGTTCCGGCCCTCTCACCTGCGCTATCGGTGACTTTGAACTTGCCAGGTTCTGATCCTCCAGCGTCCCCCTTGGCTGTCACCACGCAGGCTCTGAAACCCTGGGTGATATTGTGGAAGAGCCTGGGCGACAACTTCTTCTGGAAGGGGGAGGGGGGAAACAAGGCAAGAGTGACAACGCTGTCTTCCCATCAACAAAAAGCTAAACATATTTGCATCAAACTGAGGAATGAAAATCCCAAGAACAATTAAGATAACGTTGCACTCTAAGGCAATCAAAATAATCAGACCATGTGCCCAAACTTTTTTTTGAATTTTTTGCATTTGTGTGTCTGTGTGCCCGTGCCTGGAAGTCATGGCGACCTCTAGTGACTCCTACTGGGGCATGGAGGACATTCAGAGAAGTGGCTTGATAGCCTGCCTCTGCCTCCCCGCCCTGGTATTCCTTGGAGGTCTCCCATCCTTACCAGGGTCAGCCCTGCTTAGCTTCCGAGATCGGGCTTGACTGGGCTATCCAGGTCAGGAATGTGCCCAACTTTTATGCTCTAGATCAGGGGTCCCCAACACGGTGGCCCTGGGTGCCATGGCCTCCACCAGTACTTCCCTTGGCAACTGCAGAGCTTTTTAGAAAGTGAATAAAAAGGTAAAGGTTCCCTTGCTCGAAAGCCAGTCGAGTCCGACTCCAGGGTCTCTGTTTCAAAGCCGAAGAGCCAGCGCTGTCCGAAGACATTTCCGTGGTCATGTGGCCGGCATGACTAAACACCGAGGCGCACGGAACGCTGTTACCTTCCCACTGAAGTGGTCCCTATTTATCTACTTGCAATTTCTTGCTTTCGAACTGCTAGGTTGGCAGGAGCTGGAACTAGAGATGGGAGCTCACTTCGTCATGCGGCACACTCGGGTCTCAAACTGCTGAACTACCGACCTTCCACAGCCTGCAGTTCAGCATCTTAACCACTTGAACCACCGCAGCTCCTAGAAAGTGAATAGGATCACTGTAACGCGGGGTTTGTAACTGATTCTACTCAATGTACAGTCCAAGTTTTCCTTCTTCTCAGGAGGAGGGAGCTATTCCATTTGGCTCCGCCTTCTATGGTAGCCATTTTGGGGTGGCACTCACCACTCCTCTCAAAATTCCAAATGTGCCGGCAGGCTGAGAAAGGTTGGGGACCTCTGCTTCACATATTACCAAAACACTACCAGCTTCTCTAAAGGGGTTATAGCTGCTCCTCTTACTAATAATTCGAGGCCACATCAAACTGCATCTTGGAGCTATGCCAGCAAGCATCAGACTCAAATGCCCCCTCCCTCCTTGCTCCCTTCCAAACTTATTGAAACCAAAGTTCAGTATTTCATCCGAACTGGCAAACTGCAGCTTGCAGTTCCCTGCCAAATTGCGGTTCAAAGGGGAAACGCAAACTGCACTTGGCAGGGTTTGATAAAATTGGCCAACTACAATTTGGTGTCAACCAGGAAGTGTGGGAAGGCACAAGAGGAAAGAGGGGGCACGCGAGGCCCAGGTGTGTTCATGCAATGCCAAATCATGATTTGGTGTTACGTCCAAACTGAATCAATTCTGGGGGCTGCAAACCTTTTCTATCTGACGTTTTCCTCCCATGCACAAGGGTGGAATGCAACCCCCCAATTTAATGACAGGCTAACAGAGGACAAATTACAAAATCATGCCTTACTACCCTGCTCCACCGTTTATATCAGACCCGACCAGCATCTCCAGCAGAGCAATAGAAAGAACAGCATACTGTATCTTGTCCAGTGGCACCTTTAGGACCAACAAAGTTTTATTCTGGGTATAAGCTTTTGTCTGCAAGCACACGTCTTCAGATCTGCTGCTTCCGACCAACATGGCTACCCACCTGAATCTGTATCCTATCCACCCACTCTCGGCTTCTAGTTTGACTTGAGACTTTAATCTATCTCTGTTACAGCAACAAAACCCAAAGTATACAGTTGGGTGGAGCACAGGCAAGCGGACACGAGCTTGGATGGATATTGGAGAGGTCCCATTTAACTAGATTTACTTTTGTTACAGACTGAATTATGTTTTATGGAAATCTCTCTTGCGGGAAAACCTGAAACAGCTACCACAAGAATTCTCAGATGCATCAACAACTGCCTTCTGGAGTCCAGGAGCACCTTAAAGACTAACAAAATTTGTGGCAGGTTAGGAGCTTTCGTGAGTCACTGCTCACTTCTTCAGTTATAGCTTTTGTGAGTCACTGCTCACTTGTATCTGAAGAAGTGAGGGTTGACTCACATTCTAGCTGTAAGTGAAGAACTGAGCAGTGACTCGCAAAAGCTCCTAACCTGCCACAAATTTTGTTAGTCTTTAAGGTGCTCCTTTAAGGAGCTGCGGTGGCTCAAGTGGTTAAGACGCTGAACTGCAGGCTGTGGAAGGTCAGTAGTTTAGCAGTTCGAGACCCAGTGCCGCATGATGGAGTGAGCTCCCGTCTCTAGTTCCAGCTCCTGCCAACCTAGCCGTTCGAAAGCAAGAAATTGCAAGTAGAT